TCTGTTTGGCATAAATATCGTTTCGCTTGTTTGTATGTGATGATAATGCTGACTGAGGGAAAAGGAGATGAAAGATTATGTAAATGAAAATTGTATAATGTGGTCAGCTGACTAGATATCCTGGGAGATGGTGGACGGACCGGGTCCGTAGGGAACCCTACCGGGATTGTGGTCTCCCATACCGGACGGGGTATGGAGATCTTATGTGTTTTGGCGCCCATACCGGACGGGGTATGGGGACGGCCCGTTTCACCCTCATACCGGACGGGGTAATGAGGTCTATGGTTTGGCGCCCATATCGGACGGGGTATGGGGACGGCCCTGGAATATGATTTCAAGTGTTAAGGGTTAACGGGTAGCGGGACCCCTATGGATCCCCATGGATACTAGTGGGCTGGTAAATGAGGAAAATATGTTGTGTAACGATTAAATTACGAAAAGCTTGATAGGTATTATGTTATACAGTTCATATATATGTTTTCATGATGATGATGATGTTATTACTTTCGTATATTGTTTTATGAATTTCACCGAGGTAAGTGAATGGTAAAGGTTTTATTATTAATAAAAGGATTTGTTGTAATTTATGCTCCATTGGTCTTTTTGTGTTTTCTACCCACATTTACCTCCGTGACGGTGAGATATCGTGATGTCCTTACTGGGATAGTGTAGCTCATTCCTTATTTAATCATTTCAGATCAAGAGGACATCGTTCCCGAGCCGGTTCCGCAGGAGGACGACGAAGGGGACGCCTAAAGACTCCATAGTCACATTCGTAGTTTTTACTTTCAAGTTTCTCCTTTAAGTAGTTTAATCTTTTATATTTTGTGAGCACGTTTTTGGTTTTAGTGTAAGGGATGTTAATCAAATTTTGTCTTTGCTTCCGCATTTGATATTTATAATATAATTTCCATTTTAAATTTCCGGGGCTGTTACAATGACGATTTATTTTTCAAAAAATATAATTTTAAAATAAAAATATGATTATCGTTCATTAAGATATATAAAACGAGTATAACATAAAATATTTAAATAGTATAATTGATAAAATATTTAAATTAATTGTAAGGTACTACACATGAAACTTTGGTATGGTGCTTTTAGCAATCTAACTTTGCAACTAAACTTAATTAGCACATCTACAAGGGAAACGAGACAATATACTTGATGATGTTGTTGAAATTACAAAGTATTTTTATATTAGTTTATATTTTTAAATTTTTTAAGAAAAGAAAAGAGTTGAAACTGAGATTGAGTGAAAAAGAAGGACAAAGATAAGAAAAAGCAGTTTCAAAAAAAAAAAAAAAATTAGCTGCAGAATCTTTTGCACAAATTGAATAAGACATGTGAAGATACAGCTTTTGAGACATTGAAAATGCAAAGTAAAAAACACAAAATGTTTTTACTCAACAAATGCATGCCGGCTGGTCTTTCTCTTTTTTTTATTTTTTAAAGTTAGAAAAATATTATATCATTTTTTTAAATTCGTTATAATTATTCTGATTAAAAAATTTCAGTCACCATAAAATAATATTTTTTGTTAAAAAAATATAATAAATTTTATTGAAACTTAGTGTAATTTGATCATCACAATCTTCTACTAGTAAATTAAGTTATCGATCTTATTAAATTAAATATTATATGTTGGAGACTATTTTAACTAAAAAAATTTAGTAACCGCATATATATTTTTTTCATTTAGAAACATAATAAAGTTGTTGAGATTTGATGTAATTTGATAATTACAATCTTATACTAATGGGTTAAGTTATCTGTTTTGTTGAATCAAGTATTATATATTAAAAACTACCCTAAATAAGAAAATTTTAGTCATCACAAAATATTTATTTTGTTCAAAAACGTAATAAGTTTGTTAAAACTTGATTTTTTAACTTAATCATCACAATCGTACAATAATGAACTGAGTCTTCTGAATCAAATATCATACACTGACTGCTGTCAACTTATAATATGCTCATAAAATAATGAATTCTAGGGGTTCAAATTTATAACTTTTAAATATAACATATGAATTTTAATTATTAGATTACTATATTATTGATAAAATTTAGAAATATAATAAAACTAGTTTAAAGAGTAAACAAGTCCTAACTAATGTAAATAGAAATAGGTGGTCGAATGTATCATTAATGTAAATTTTATGATTTATTAGTAAATTTTTTTTTTCTTTAATTTAATTTAATATTAAAATAATATAAATTATATATATAAATTACAATTTAAAGTAATATTTAAAAAATATATATGCACATATATCTATATAATGTTTGGACTCGTCAAAGCTGAATTATTTGCAATTTGATTATTCATGGTCTTATAAAATTCAATTTATAAAGATGATGACTTGTCCCAACAAGAATTTCTACATCATCAAAAGTAGTGGAATGGAGCTGGATTTAGGTAATATTTTCCCCTTGTAGATACTCGAATTAGAATCAAATTTTTATTTATTTTTGTTCTAATTGTAAAAATTCATCTTAAATTTTTTTATTAAGTGATTAATATTAGTAGATACAATTAAGTAAAGATTAAGAGTGGGCTAATCAACATCTTAATGAGTAGAATTCGTATAAGGGAAGTAATCACATGAGTCAAAGACAGGCACCCATAAACCAATTCTACATTGACTGAAATGTCCTTTCTAAATCCAATATTACCTAACAATTTCATTAAAAAAA